CCGCCCATCATGTCTCTCGTGCTCCCCCCCCCCCCCTATTCAGGCAATGTTGCTATGGCATTGCAGTGCCAAGTAGAATGGATTTATCAGCGGACATATCTGCTATCTGTTAACACCATCCTAGTAATGGCGGAGGTGGCGCCCGGGCGTGGCGGCGAGAGCAAAGAGGAGTCAAAAGGTGAGGAGTGCGCTGAAAGAGGAGGTGTCCTCTCTCCCTATCGAGAAATTTCACAAATGCTGAACTGAACCTGTGCTTCCAATCATTGCCTTGTTTGCTGTCGCCATGACAACCTGGCCTTCAGCTTCCTTTGGCTGATGGTGTGATCCTCTGCAGGTGGGAGGTGGGGGCGGTGACACTGAGAAGGTACGGCTGAGGGCAGGAGGGAGAGGATGAAGTACAGCCATTGTACAGTACATAGTCCGAATCTAACGAGATTAGATAGGATTGACTTTACTTTGATGCTAGGAATTGATGGACACTGTCAAAGTGGTATGAATTTGAGTTCATTGCTGTGAGTGACATGTATAGCCACATGGAAGTGCGCTGAATCAGACTGGAGTATTTCTAACATTTTGTCCCCCTCATCCCTAAATGTGGAAAAGAACGGCTCTCCCTATGCGGTACCGTTTTACAGTCCGGCAATCTGCAATCACACATATTGTTGATGAATATATCTTGAAGTGGGAAAAATGAGAACGAGAATGCTTATGGTTGGTACAAATGGGAAGACAGGAAAGTCCTTTTATGATTCCGAATATCAAAGAGATCTTGCAAAAAAAGTGTTTCCCACCCTTGCACAAAGTAGGACAGACCCCCCCCACCCACCCACCCACCACCCCCCTACAAAGTAGTCAGCTGATGTGAAACGCTGCTCTGATGCAGGGAACTGAGCGAATAGGTGGAAGCAAAGTCGAGTAAAAACTGGCTATTATTTTTTCTGTTGAACACGCAGGAGACCTTTGTTCAAAACTCTCTCATAATAATTAATATCCTTGGCCGCAACATTTCACGAACCTTTATTGTCGAAAGACAATATAAAAGACGTCCACATTGGAACTCACTCCCGCCCAAAGTCAAATGGGAGAGACTCCGAAGCAGATTATTCATCCATTTTCAATAGCGCTTATCACTGTTATGGCCACCGGTGAGCTGAAGGACTTTGGGGCGAGGGGGGTACACCTTGGTCGTCGTCAGCCAATCGCATGACTCAGAAGACATTCACAACTCAGGACGCTTTAAAGGCTTCTATTTACCCGAACAATTCGAGATTAATGATTGTTTTGGGGACGTGGGCGGAAGCTTGTGTATCCGCAGAAAACATGACAACATGGAGAACGCGACAACGGAGCGGCAGAGGCGCTCAGGAGAAGGAGGGGGAGGAGGGGCTTTGTTAAACGGGAGGCTAATTCCAAAGGGTTTGTTTAAGATGACTTAATTACCTCCTCAACAGTCTATGGAGATCTGCCCTCCTCCCATTTTCTCTTCTCCGCTACACATTTTTTTTTTTTTGCGGCAGCTAACCTAATTAGGCACACAATTACACTTGCCCAATTACACACGTGGGGAACACAGAAACACACCAGAAGGGGTGTTTTCCCGAGCCAAAAGGATAAGGAAAGCTACCAAACGACTCTGAACATCTGCCAAAGTGTGCTTTGTCATGCACACCCGAGGTGTCTCTGCTGCGGCATGCGGACAACCCCCCCAACACTGCGGTATGATGCTCTTAACTTACAACTGCAAGAGACTAATTCCGTTATGTCGAGAGCAAAAAAAGAACCGCCAGGAGATTAGAACGAGCAGGCGAACGGGCTGACGTTTTGCGCAATTGCGCACGATCACATTTTTGTAATTTACACCCCAAAACAATGTCCCGAGCGCCATCCGTTTCGTCTCCTAAATGTCTCTACATGTGCGGGCATATGATGCGATTGGCAATGATTGACAATTACTCTTTGGAAACTTGAGTTTGTCGCATTTTTCGTCGCAACGCAAAGTGCGACCAGTTTATGACACAAGTACAATACGACACTCAATTTGAACTTCAATGGGAAATGAAGAAGGCGCAATGAGAGGGTCATTTGGGTCACAGCCGCATCTCACGTGACTTTTTTCAAAACATTTTAAAGGAGACACATTTAACGGCAACATGCTTTTGTCCAAATACGGCGAGGATTAAGAATTACAGCGCATTTAACACACTGCTTTTGTGTCTCGCAGGGCGCGGCGGGCACATCTGACGCAAAGGATTTAAGGGTTGGCTAGTTGTCGACACACGGAAGCTCCCATAAAAACAATATTGTTGGCATTTTCACTCGGAGAGGCCGCGCCTCATCACCGAGATGCCGGATTATACGTCCTTTGATGAACTGAGCTCCTCTCATGCATCTTTTCAACTCAAAATTGGCTTTAAAGACATGTCAAAGCCAAACGTTAAGCAGCGCAGCGGCTTGGAAGCACTGATTAGCGTCCACTAACAGTGTCATCAAGCGTGAATTTCTGAAACGGGGCGCGTATGTTACGTGTGACGTTTCCGTAGCTAGCTGATGGTGACTACCAAGGTGTTACGTTCCCCAACTTCTTACCCTGAATGAGCTGAAAATTGAAACACACTGAAGCAGTAGGCGCGTTCCCTCCAGATACGCCGTAGAAAGTGGACACAGCTTGAATATTGCAACAGTGTTTGCAGAATAACCAATACCATTAATCATGTGATTCTTAATAATTCATGATATTCATTTACATAAAAGACACTGCTTAGGTTGGTGATTTCTCAACGTCAACACGCTACACCATTTCGCTTCATCTCTGCCGGTGTTTATGGTTTCAAATGATCATTTGGAACGCATTGCTCGAAAACCACAAACGTCCCATCGCCGGTGACCTATTTTGAGAACAGGCTCGCGGGCTACTGAGCCGTTCACATCCGAGTGCGCGGACACCATACCTAGGTTATGTCGTTTGCTCTTGGCGTGCTCATGGATGTGTTTTTTGGCAAAGCAGGCGAAGAAGACGCAGTAAAGGCAGGAGTGGAGTCTGCTGAGGTGAGCGCCGCACATGTGGCAGATGCACGACTTGGCCTGAAAAGGGGGCGGAGACAGAGGCAGAAACAACAGAGAACACGGTGTGATTAGTGAAGTGCTAGTTCAAAACGTGCTCTTGCGGAGGCATCTTGATGAACACCAATGCAATGGCTTGTCCGATGACTGTAATTATAGAGGGAAGACAAATTCAGACACGCTCACGGCTAAAGGGCAGCTCGCCTCACGTTCGGAGAGCATTCGTTTTGCTGGCCAACCGCAACAGAATGAGGACCACAATTATGCTTCCATTTCACTGCATTTAAAAAAAAAACAAAAACAAAAACAAAAAAACGGATTTCGTTAATTTCCGTTTTTCAAATAAATAAATATAAACTGCATGAATTAATATTTGACAAATAAATTCATTAATTAGAACATGAAAGTATGATACTGTCGCTAAATGAGTTGAAATGTAAAACATAATCTGAAATAATAGTGTTGACCTCTATTATGGCATTGATTTACGATATTTAATTTCTATTGCAATAAAGTAGATGGATGTTGTCCGTTAGGAACTATAGTTTGAAATGTGAAGGGTAGAGCCCAACAGATATGGATTTTTTTTTTCTTTAAAGGTCCCATAACGCTTACAACAATGAAGATATTAATTACATTCAGACTGCTTTAGATTACTGGTCCTTTAGTTTTTTTTTGGGGGGGGGGGCAAAAGCGTACCTCTGCTGAGACAAAAACTGGCCATTTTTATCTAAATAAGAATCATTTTAACCACAGTGACACAATTGATGCACTTAGGCAGCTTTTCCCGTTCCCTACCCTTGTGCTGAATATTAAATGGAAAACGAAGCACATTTTTGTACAGTAATCTTTTCCTGCGTCTTGTGGCTGTGTGTGCGGCAAACAAGTCAAGCGGCGAGTGAACAGAATGGAAGCGAGTGTATGTAGCAGCTGCAGTCTTGTGCGATTCTTGCATCCGTTGTCATTCAGCACTTTGCTTCACTGTATGACCAATTCATTATTGCGCTGACTGATGGAGTGTTGTAGTCGGGTTGCAGGCAACACGTGATGGGCATGACAGTGGACGGCAAGTGCTTGGAGCATACAGATGAGAGAGACTAGAAGAGAGAGAGAGAGAGAGAGAGAGAGAGAGAGAGAGAGAGAGAGAGAGAGAGAAAAAGCGCGACAGAGAGAAAGACAAGGGCAAAAAAAACAACAGTGCCATGGCTCAATGTTGATTTTAATGTCAAATGTAAGGTTTGGACCCACCACCAAATCTAGATGGACAAACAAGTGGACGGCCACCATTTGGTGAGTGATGGAAGATGAAATACAATATATATACAATTATGCATCCATTTGTATTCTACAGCGCTTGTTCTCATGAGGGCCACGGGCAAGTTAGTGTTGAAAGGCTGAAAATTCCAAACAAGTGTACAATTTTAAGTGAAACAAGTGTTTTTCTTTTTTTTTCCAAGCCTGGTTCTTAAATGTGGTCACCCTAATACCCGCATCTTTCTATTGTTGCAAAGTCACGAACCATTTTCTAAAATTTAGAAACAATAAAGCATTTTGGGGTTCAAAAATAGCCTTTCAAAATACTGTACATTGACAGTGTGTTACATTTTTAAATACAGCTTCGAATGAGTTTGACTTGACACCAAAAGCACATTGCTCGCTACGACGTCCGCTAACTAAAGGCTGAGCCGCACTGTATTTGTTTGCAGAATAGTTAGTAGCGAAAGGACAGGTGAGTAACACGGATACCCATTAACGTACAATCTATGTAGGAACACGCCTTAGTATTGATCTAAAAAAAAAAAAAAAAAAAAAAAAAAAAACTCAAAACAAAAACATGCATTTTTTTTTTTTTTTTTAACGAAACCAGTTGAGAATCACAATTCGAAAATATTTAGTGGTTATTCGGCAATCAATTTGTGGTCAATTAATGGTTGCATTTCGATGCTGATCCAAATGTAGTAACTGCTTGGTTAACTCCACCTATATGTTTTGATGTTCAAAATGCTTCACATATGAATAGGCAAATGGCATATGCACCTTTGGTGTTCAGGTAACAGACATATGTGCCAACGGCAACTCAATAATACATCACCCATGTCACCAAACATCCCACTGAAACACATACCGAAGAAGTGTTTTGTTTTTTTCCTGTGAAATTCTGCCTGTTGGCCTTCCTGTCTTCAAGGGACACATGCAGCACTGGAGTGCCAAGCTCGCCTGCTCTTTGGGTGGGGTGGCGGCATGAGTCAAGAAATGGGCAATTATGTGATGAGGGAGAACTTGAAAATTTTTGACTCTGCTTATTTTGGTACGCATGGCTGTTTCCTACTTTCCTTCTCATCCCAGCCAGATAAGCAGCGGGGGATGCTGTTTGCTCTCCATCACCTTGGATGTGCATGCAAATTCAGACATGGATTGGATACAAGACCTGAATGTGAACAAATCTACATGTGTGAGCCGCAGACGCAAAAAAAAAAAAATGGGTCAACAAGAGGATGATTGATGACTGCAATCAAGAGATGTGGTCAAGATTTAGGTTCTAGGATGTGCATGCAGGGTGAGTCATTGGATGGTTTATTTAAAGCCTATGAATGGGCAGAAAAGCGAGGGAAGACCCATCTGCAAAGGCTGTTGCGGGGAACAGATGGCTTGAAGGCGCAGTTCTGAGGCAAAGAGATGTCGGACACAAAGGACCGTTTTATTGTCATGTTTTAGGGAGTTCCTGCTGGCATTCTGCTACTGGGGTATCTAGCGTGTTTTTTTTTTTACCTCGAAGAAAGGGGTTAGAGCCCACAAGCACGCACACGCGCACGACCTTTCACGTTCACATTCACACACATACACGCGCATCTCTTCCGTTCAGTGAACCCACTACGTTTCCCAGTCTCTCGTTACCTTGCGTTTCCTGGTCTCGGCCGAACCGCTCCATACGAAACACTGATAAATAGCCCTCAGGTTCTGCTTCCAGTTGTCCACTTTGAAGCAGTTGACATGGGGGCAGCCCGCGGGACTCATGATAATCACAGCATCAGGCTCGGCTGTCCACTGGGCGAGGAAACCTGTTCAAAAGCCTCAAGCCAGTCCAAAGCCCGGGGTGACTGGCTAGCTTGCCAGGTTCGTTATCCACCAATCGCCGCGGTATAGCTAACTGGACATGTTCTGGTTGTTGTTACGCCGACACGTACAGAACAGCGCCAATGATTTCCGTATTCCAGTTTCGGAACCAGCATATTACCTGTCAATTCGAATCCTTTCCAGTGCCATAAATGCAGCTTAACCACATTCGCTTAATTACATGTTAGCAAGCTGGCTAAAGTTGGTTAGCGTAGGAATTTCAACAGTAGCTTACACGGTGAGTGTGGACCGACCCAGTTCATAACGACGGACCAATCAGAGGCGACTACTACTCACGAGTGGCGTATGGTAACCGTTCCAGGAGTTAAGTCCCGCCTCTTCTAAACGGATGGTGGGCCATGATTGGCCTACTCTTCCCAGCGGCGACATCCGCCTGTGTGAAGGAACTCATTGGTTTACATCGTGGATCACCTCCTTTGTAATAAACATTGAACATACATATTTGACAGAAACGTGCAGCCAATTATTGAACAATTTATTACAGATCCACAACTGCAAAGCTCCCAAATGGCATGACGGTTTGGTTATATCCGTTGACCTGGGCCTCTTATATGACAACCTGTCAAAACGATTTTATGTACAGTGCTCTAGAGACCTCTAGTGGATCAAACTTCTTAAAAAAATAAAAATAAAACAGTGCGCCAGATTGTGCCTCTTTGCACACAGTGTACTCAAAGATTGACTACATTCTACACAAAAGCAAGAGGGGAAACTATCATTGCAGTCGTTACAAATGTAGATTATAGTCAGATTTATTCCTTGCCAGCCATGTATTACCTCATATGGAATACCTTCTAGTTACAGCCATCATGCAGCAGAATGGTGAGATTATTCACAATTATGCTTGGAACAAACAAATCCAGTTTTTATTCTTGTGTTCTGTGATAATGTCGCACTGTCACTCCAACCTGAACATTGATAAATAAAACACTGACAAAATCGTAATCTTTTTCAATTCCTGTAAAGATTGTTTTTATCCTTCAGAAACCGTGAAGAAAGAATAACCAAATTCACCATCATTCCACACAATTAGATTTTCCTTAACCAATGTCTCTATGCAATAGAATATTTTTTTTTCCTCTTTAAAAAAAAAAAAAAAGTCCAATGCATCCATGGAAGAATGTATTTTGCGCTGCAATATTTTCTGGCAGTCTGAGGCCCCTCAGGAGTAACTTGACGTTTTGCTGCCAACATCATCCTCCTGCGTTCCCATACTCTTAAATGAAAATAAAAGTCACATGTTAGAGATATTTGGCAAACTTCATTTCCATGGACAGAGAGACTGTGTGGATTCGACAAATGCTATAAATGCTTCGAAGATGAACAGAACTGTTCCTTTGTTCTATTTTGAATGTGTTAAAAAACGAAGACTACCAGACTATACATGACGTATCAACCTAATTTATTGTGGGCGAAATTACGTATTGCGCCCTCCCTTTACACTTAATTATTTGTCAATAAAAGTCTCACTTAAAAGTCTTACTGGATGGGGCGCCTAATAATGTGGGTCACCTTGTGTATGCACAGAGTTCCAAAATCTGTGAATGCTGTTGTGTGACTCCGATGAGGGATCCGCTCGACTGACTGATGTTGTGCCGACACGCTGCTTGTATAGAGGAAAGGCGGACGTAACTGAGCATGTGGATGTGAAAGTGGGAATAGTGGGCGTAAAACAGGACGCCAAAGGCATGCCTGCGTACAATAATACAATGCGTCTTGTGTCTGTGTTAAATATAGAAATAGTGCCCGTAACTGACACGGTCGTGAAAATCCGGTAAAAATGACCCCGAAAGCTTGTGGTGGTGCTGAAGATTTATAAAACAAACAATATTGTGAATTTTGTCTCACCTTCTGCACAAACTGCGGATTTACTGTGATTTCTTGATCCATAGATTTTAGTTTCTCATCCAGTTCTATACATTTCAGCATCTGAAAATTAAAACATGAGGTTACATTTTAGGAGCATTTTTGACGCTTTGTGCTCCAGCGATTCTCACCTCTTGGTCAATTTTGTGTAGCATCGCCGGATTGTTGTATTTTTCTGGGTTGTCATGGAAACACACCATGCCGTCCTTTTGGTTAATGCTTGCGTAGATCTCCCCATCTTCAATCTGCTCAGAAACCAGAAATCCACAACAGAATTAAAACGACGACGTGATACTTCTGCATTTTGCTGTTGTCATTGTGGATCACCTCACCATGTGTAAGACGTATTTCTCTGCCTCCTGAGGACCTGAAAGCTGCACCCGACTTGCCATGTCTTGCAAAGACAGTGTCAGGAAAGTCTGCAGGGGACACCGGCATGATGGATGGTGAAATAAATCCAATCGGAGATAAAATGAGAAGCCATCTCAATCGAGTCTATTTTTGTTCAAGAAACAAACAAACAAACAACCCCCCCCCCCCCCCCCCACACACACACACACACACCTTTGTTAGCCTCTGGATGTTCTTTTTGTAGAGGGAGGAGAGGCACTGCTTGACCAGGCCCGTGTTGTTGTCTCGCGTGAACGTCTCACTGTGTTTGTTGACAACGCTGCGCAATTCGGTCGGGTTGTTGGTGGTGTAAATCTGAGCCAGCTCATGGTAGGCGTTGCTCAAGGGCTGAGGCAAAGCAAAAAGAAGGAAATAAACAACTAAAGTCCAGATGGATGCCGGCTTTAAATTCTTGCCGCTACTTTTATGTGGGGATTTTATTAAATCCACCTTTATAGGCCACTCTACCTTGATAAACCTCCCTACGATTTGTGAGGTGTATTTGGGCAGCTGCTGCACTTTGCCGTGGAGGATGAGTGAGACCAGGATGTATTTCTTGTAGGCTTCCAACATGATGTGGCTCACTGCCATGGCCGGAGTGGTTATTGCCTTGAAGGGGTGGAAAAAATCAAAATCAAAACAAAAACATATGAGAAGTGATGACAGATGAGGATTGTATTGAAATCCAAATGGTGATACAGTAGAACTTCTAGTCACGATCCCCTGAAGTTGAAACGAAAAAAATGGATTTAAAAAGAAAACATGTTTTGAAAATCTGACAGAACGGCAGCAAATCTTGCAAGAGCAACTCATCTCTGGCTGTATGTTTTGCTATTCGTGTTCGCTTTAGTTATTTTCTGATACATTATACTGCACTCTACCTCCTGAGATCTTAAGTCTTTAAAAGGTTATGGTTAGTCCGACACTTATTCCAAAAGCACCGGTCTCAGCAAGGGGTGTTCAAGACAAGACGGGAAGTTACCATACGCACCGTGACACATTTGTACTGTTCTGCTGTTTGGACGTTTCGCACGTCACACTCATCTGCAATCGACCATGGCCAACTCAAGACTGAGTGTTTTATTGTTCTTACGTTATTACGGGCAGCGGTTGAGTTATTTTTGCACAAAATGTGACTTCAGTTCAAGATTTTATGATGCCCGGCGGAACAGTTTGTGGTGAACTTCAAAAACACAGCTTCCTTTTTTCATTATTATTTACACAGACGAAACGAAAGGCAAGAATGTTAAAATGTTTCTCAATCAAGGTTCAAATATGGATGTACCTGTTCATAAAAATACAGTGCTCTATCGAAATTTTTGAGGCCCATGTAGATCATGCCACCATAGTAGTAGTAACATAAAAAGTGCTTTGCGTCATAAGCTCCGTTCTCCTTGCAGATGTCCATCATGTCAAGCTCCAGGAAGGGCAGGGCTGGCTTGAAGCACTTCGCTAACAAGCACAGCTGGAGAGAGGACACGGAACAGGGGAAAAGGGCATTTGTGACAGAAAAAAAATTATAGTATAAAAATTGCAAAGTAAGCATCAAGTGTTATTTAAACCAAAAATAAGCAAGAAAAACAAACCACAAAAGCACAAAAATAAATAGTACAGTCTAAAAATCCGCACATCCTGTTTGGAACATGCGATTTAAACCACATGACGTTATGGTGGATACCGTTGGGTGAAAGATACATTTGGCCCAGTGACTCACCTGACACAGGTCTGCATGAACTGAGGTAAGTTGGTTGGTGTTCATCTGCATTTTGTCTATTGCCTGTTTTAGGATGACGACACCCCTCAATGGCTGTCATGGCGGGGAGAAGCAAAGAAATGTCCAAAAGTCTTTTTTTAATGTATGTTGAATTGTTAAGGTTATATGACCTATTTTTTTGAAAATTTGTATCTCTTTATAATTCTATTTATATTTAATTGAATTAGTCAATAATTGCCCTGTGTGTCAGCGTAAATGTGCCGTCTTACCTGTTTCCGCTCCACAAGGGCATTTGTCAACTGGTGGCATAGACCAGCAACTAAGGACACAAAAGGAATAACATTTTTTAGAGAACAATAATCCAGCAGCTCCTCAATTAAAAGTGAAAGAAGTTATTTTCGTCAAAGTGCGTCATAAGCAGCGAGTCGGTGCAGGGAGCTCCCAGTCTCAGCAGCATCTCTGAGAACATTCAGTGAAGTCATTCCAAGAGGTCTACCCAATTTAAGGTGATCTCTTATCGCGCGAAAGAAAACAAAAAAAAATGCTAACATACTGGAGTTATTGTCTCAATGGATGGATGCAAAACGTTTGGTCGACAGGACTTACAAGTGTCTGTTGCATATCTAATGTGCTCGCCATTGCAAGTACTGATGAAGAGCTGGACTTGAGAAAAGAGTGTCTCAAAATCAGGGATGTTTGGCATGGAGAACTTTACAAATCTGGAACACAGATAAGAATGACTGATCAGCATTAAAAAAAAAAAAAAAAAAAAAGCATTCAAGATTATGTTGTTTCACTATTTTTTTTTGGCTAGTATGAATAACAAAATGTGAATACCCAATCAACCCACTAGCACAGTATGTCAGCTCATCGTATTGAGCAGAATAGGAAAACTTTATCAAGCTCATTAATTTTTTGTGAGATATGTAATTATTACCAATTGTATAATAATGTTTTTTGTACACTGTAAACAGTTAATTTCACAAAGCTTTGTGTACTGTAATACATAACCTGGACTGAAATAAAATGTACAAATATAAAGGGGGGAAAAAAATCTGAATTAAATAATGGATAAATAAATTACTGCATAATGTCTATTTTCATGAGTGGCGCCTATGTTGTCTCCAACTCGAGCCCCACATGACGGGAGGCCTGAATTTGTACAAACACATTTTTGGAACAATAATATCAATATTTTACAGTTCATGTCAAATGAAATTAGGGTTGAGATGAAAAATTTAAAAATAAAATAAAATAAAAAAATAAGAAATTGTGCAGTTCTATGGCATATGAACATGGATGCACACAATACTGTGGTACAATCAAACAGCAGCAGTCCTCTCTCTGAGGACTGTGAATAAGTCATGACTTGCACTTACAGAACAGCCAGCACACCGAGGGAGTGCTCCTGAATGTCCAAGGCCCCCAACACCGTGTCCAGGTGCGACAGGTTCTTGGCCAGCAGCTCCCCGCTCTTGTTGATCAACTCGCACAGCTGAGTCATCTGGCCTGCAGAGGCAGGAATGACCGTCAAGAGTTCAATAACAGAGACAATTCCCTCATGCCGGACATTTAATTGGAATATTCAGCCCTTCGAAAATAAGTTACCTCGAGGGATACACCGACAGCACTTTTTTCAGGCTAAGTACAAGTTCAACTTGTATTTGAATACTCGCCAATACCAAGTAGCAAGACTGAATAAAGCTTGCAATTGTGATGAAATTGTGTTTTATTTGAATCAGATGTTGCTGGAAAAACATCAAACACAAACCTCTTCAGCATGATTCATTCGAGGGCCCGACTAATATGTAATTTCATTACATATATATCTAGACCATGTATCCTTGTACATGGTCGAGTACAACATCCAAGTTCATTTAAATGTTAGAAAATAAAAATGTGATAGGACAACCGATGTGGCTTGCAGTCAGCAAACAAAGCGTTGTCATCCCTGTTGACCAAAACGTATTTCAACACGGCTGGTGTTGACCTGACTCCACCAGCCCAAAACATATGTAGGCTCGTTCAGTGGTATCAGTGTCGTAGTATCTGAATATTTTTTTCTAATAGGAGGCCAGTACAGCTGTATAGTATTGCCGTATGCCAATCTGTATTAGGTATATCAATAGTTATCTCAAAATGCATTGAACCATTGACTTTTAATGTGAAGTATTTGTTTGCTTTTTGATTTGTGTCTATTTTGGTAAACGCACGTCTTCTGTGTTCATTATCATTATGATATACGTAAAACTGAATGTCCGTGTTTATGGCAAGACTCTATTTGTATGACTTGAGTCTCCAGGGATCTCTTGTGATGAAAAAGTGAATAAGTTTAAAGCATGAGAGGAGAAAACATTAATTCTGCAGTCATGCAATTGAATCAATCATTCACGCCATATAAGATCACGCTAAACAGACTGGGAGCCCATTCTTTGACCTGCAATGCTATTTAGAACCTTGGATGTGTGATCAACTGTAGATATACAATTTTAAACCTGTCGGTCGGTCAACTGTCCTGTCAAGGCCTTCGCTAAAGCCAACTGCTAAACAGATTGACAGGGCACCAAAACCAATCAAATAAGTCCATTCTTGAATTCCAGCCAATCACGCGAGACTAGGGTGGGACTTCCGGTAGACAGTGCCCAGAAAATATTTTCCAGATCAGAACCAAAAAGTATCTTTTTGACATTTTGTTTGAAGAACTACCACATATCCACGTTCGTCATCTACACTAACAAACACCGTAGTTATTTTCGCACACTCGCATTGGCAACGAAAGAGTCTAGCGATGTGTTTCCATGATTAGGCAAAAAGAAGTGGCTGACTTGGCTATCGGCAAAGCATAGGGTAGCATATGCAGGCTAACTAGCCAGTACTTCCCATACGAATGAGTGAGGCAAGCCTACCTTGAGCGGAAAGCTGCCGCACATTGTTCACAAACTGCTCCAAGGCTGAAGCCATTATAACGTGGGTCCAATGCGGAGGTAATTTTCACTGTTTTTCATTCAAACGTCAAAAACAACTCAGTCCGTCTCGAGAGAGCGGCCACACAGCCGCCAGTGGGTATTCTCGCGATACCTTTTAAGTAACGGACTGCAACGAGAGGTTTGACGTAGGCGATTTTTTTTTAGGCATCAATATAAAATTCACACAAAACACTAGTTTCTGTAGCTGTAGCACCAACGTTTAAGCGGTAAAATATTCACTTTCTCATTTTTACGGATAGTCTGAGCGACCTTAAAAGACTATTTCGTCTAAATTAATGTTGGCATACCCTTAAGAAATCAGAAAAAAAAACAGGAACTGACGTCATACCTACCGCGATTAGACAAAGATTTTAGAGTAAGAGAGAAACGAAAGCAATGTCTGGATTTTTACATTTCGGCTGTATGCAAAACAACAACAAAATAATGTACAATCAACATACCTACCGCGATTAGACAAAGATTTTAGAGTAAAAGAGAGAAACGAAAGCGATATCTGGATTTTTACATTTCGGCTGTATGCAAAACAGCAACAACAACAAAATAATGTACATTCATCCACAGCAAATAGATTAACCCCATTCATAGATTTTAACCCGATGACTATCAATTACAATACAAGTAAATGCGTTTTCGTAAATTTTGCTCCGGCGAAATACAATATTTTGAATCAGACGTTACAAAAAGGAATGCGCAATCGCATTGTCGCTGATTTTGATGTTCCTACCTTTCAGAAACAACTATTTAGTTTTATTCATTTCCTACTAGTGTACTACTACAGACGCAGTACTACTACTACGACGACGACGTTTTGCTCCGGCGAAATACAATATTTTGAATCAGACATGTTACAAAAAGGAATGCGCAATCGCACTGTCGCTGATTTGCTGTTCCTACCTTTCAGAAACAACTATTTTGTTTTATTCATTTACTACTAGTGTACTATTACAGACGCAGTACTACTACTACGACGACAACTACAGCAACGACAACCATGTAATAATTATAATAATAATAATAATAACAATAATTATAATAATGATTTTGGAACTTTGTCACCTTTGTTTCGTTTGGATGAGCAGAGTCAACGGAGTACCATCTTGTTTCGACATAACATCTTTGTTTTCAGCAAGCCAATACTGTACAGTTCGTTCCCGGGAGCAGCATAACTACGGTGTTTTACCTATGAAACCATTGTGTTACACTACTGTGTTCCTATCTTCTGGCAGCCCAAATTTTTCTCCCAGGCTGACAACTTGATCGGTTATGGGGAGCTGCGGGACATTTGACAACACGTCAACAAGCGACTCAATCACACCCCAGCGCAGGCCTGTCACGTTTGACATTTCCGCCGCTGTAGACTTAGCTTCAAAGCTAACGTCAAGATAGCACCGGAGCTGTGCAGATCACACGCGGAGATCGTTGAAACATTATGCGGGCACAAAACGTCAACACAATTCAAATGCAATCGATGCAGCGTGCATGAAAAACTTGTCTTCCATGCGGAGTTTTTCCCACTAGCTCCCCGGCAAGAGTTAACTGGTGCCACCCAAGTTCACTATTATGTTACTATCGACCAAAAGCCGTCTCCTCGAAAGAGGAAGAGTTTTGCTGCCTCACATATTTAAAGGGAGCTGCGTCGACATGACGCTTAACTCCGTTTCTGGTAAGAGGCTGCGGGTGCTGGTTGATATGGACGGCGTTCTGGCAGACTTTGAAGGGGGGTTCTTGAAGAAGTACCGGGCGAAGTACCCGAACGAGCCATACATTTCCCTGGAGGACAGGAGAGGCTTTTGGGTGTCCACGCAGTACGGAAGACTCCGGAGTGATCTCTCTGTAAGTGTAGCGACATGCCAACTTGGATGCCATTTAACACTATTGATCCATCACAGAGCGATCGAAACGCCGAAAAACATCCTCCTCATCACCCGAACCCCCCATGGTCTAAAATTCGAAGTTTTATTGAGTGAATATTCACGCACATTTTAAAGTTTCAAAATCATAAGGCTATCCGAGTTCACGTGACACTATTATACTGTCATGCCTATTTCAGATAGTTTTGCAATGTAATAATAACAATGATCCGTTGTATCGGATCGGAAAATGTTTTGCATTTTATGCAGAATCGACGATGGGTTGTTATGACGTAATTTGACGAAAGATCAGTGATGTCATTGATCTGATCCGCAAAATAAGATACTGTATTGCAGCAAACACAATCTTGTTCACTCCAGGGACATTCTGTGCTGCCATCGTTAATAGCCGAGCGTAGATATACACATTTTTTTTTGGGGGGGGGGTGTTCAAGCCCCCCAACCCATCATCTGTGTCTTGAATTGTATCCGTGTTTTGGGGAGAATTTTTTATTATTTTCTTCTAACTCATTAATCGATCATCGTCTCCAAAATTCTGATCGTGTAAAGTCTAATACATACTGGATGACACATTTCACTCATGCATATGATATCTCGAATCATTGTATTCATTATTGTAGCACTGCATATTCACATTGATTAATATATTAGAGTTGATCTATATTATGTAAAATAGGATTTAGCAGGTCAAGGAATGAAGGAGCTAGCTGAAGTTTTAGCAGCATAAATGCAGTGGCGAAATGAAATCTAGGGCAGCATCATGTAATATTTATTCGACCATCACCCACTGTAAGGTTTGTGCCATAACAAAAAGCATTGGTAGCTACCATCAATAATTGTTTCGGTCAATGTAATAGCTGATACACCAGTATATACAAGCGCCACAGGTTTCCAAAAAACAATCAAACAAAAACCCTGAAAATTCTAAAGCACAATTTGATGTATTTTATAACATAAGATAGATATTGTACATTATATGACTGTTTATTATATGAACAGATCAGTCATGTGTTTGGCACAGTAGTAAGTGTGCGCATTGTGAGCAATAGGATCTAAATCATGTGCTGTGCCAATTATTGTTATCTCTTGATCATAAACAGCAGGCACGTGTTCTTTATCTCTAGGAGAAAGCCATCAGCATCTGGGAGTCCAAGGACTTCTTCAGTGAGCTGGAGCCCCTCCCTGGCGGGGTCGAGGCAATCAAGCAGATGGCCGAAATGGACAAGTAGGTCCATGACTACATACTGTAAAGGAGCCTAAGCAAGTCGCATGTAAACGCCTTAACCGCATCGACAGAATTTATACCCGCAACAACAATTGCCACACCCTATTTATTCCATGCACTTTGGCCAATTGCACGTACGGATTTTGTCACTTCTTGGGGGGGTGGCAATGATGTCAGTTTGTCTCACTATTAAGTAGCAGAGGGGTGGAAGTACAGAACGTCTTGCTCACACAAACGTGCCAATGACAGTAAAAAAAAAAAAAAATCATTGAAGTGATGATTTTTTTCGTGATTTGGGTGGTATGGTACAAAATCTGCCTTCTCCAGTTAACCACAGGATGAGCAATATTCACTCCACTTTGACTCTCATTGAAAAAAGAAGTAAAAATACTGGTGTTTTGTGTACGTTTTCCACCCTTCCGTTCCGCAGCACAGATGTCTTTATTTGCACCAGCCCGATCAAGCATTTCAAGCACTGCCCTTATGAAAAGGTACGCTCTCTTACTCGCCAATTTTTCCCTCGAGCAACTCTGACGGCATGGCATTTTTCCTGTTGCGTGTGTGTGCGTTCTCTTCCAGTATGCGTGGGTAGAAAAGCATCTGGGCCATGACTTTCTGGAGCAGGTCATCCTGACCAGAGACAAGACGGTAGTCAGCGGAGATATCCTTATCGACGACAAGCCCGATATTTTAGGTAAAACTTTTCATTTCACTGATTTAGTACCAAACTGCACCAACCCATTTTTTTTGGGTCCCCCAAGCACTTTGGCCACAGTTGAATGACTGAATGTTTCTTTGAACATGTGGGAAAAAAAATTGAATTTTTTTTTTTGGGTCCCCCAAGCACTTTGGCCACGGTTGAATGACTGAATGTTTCTTTGAACACGTGGAAAAAAAATTGAACAACAATAACAACAACAAGCAAGCAAATAATCGACAATGAACACCGAATGCCAATTTTCCATGCTCAGAAGGGAGTGGGAAGAAGTCTAGACATATTCAAGCTGCATGGAAAAACGGCCCTGTAAGAGGATTCAGAAGGCTTGAACTGAAGCAAGAGACTCCATATGGGGGGGCCATCTGTCTCAACCGGCATTACTAATACTAGCATGTCTAGTAATCATAGCAATGATAAGTAGTTCAAAAACATTTTTATTTTTGTCTTTGCACATGAAGAATAGTGTTTCCCTAATTGACCTAGTTGACCCTAAGTGACCCCTTTGACAGTGTTGCTTGTTTGTTCACAATGCTTGAACTGGTTTCCTTGTCACGTTCTGTCACTTCTATTTGCGGGACTTTGTTATGCGCTGATGAAAACCAACGTTAAACATCGTGGCCTTAATTCCCAAAAGTATGTTTGGCTTAAAATCAACAGTGCTAATCACCAAAAGAGCAACTTACATAAACGAAGCATGATGGCGGCAGCATCATGAATTGGGCCTGTTTTTCTTCAGGTGGATCTGGGTAGTAGTGCGCTCCCTGGATACAAGTCGGGGTCTGATCGCCCCCCGGTCGGGTCACCCGGGTGAGGGTGTCTGATGTCAGACCCGCAACACCCTATGACCCCTGGGAACATCACTGACGATGTGTTCAGGTTGCACCACGAGATGTATTCAAGTATGGGCCGTACACAAGCTGGAGTGAATCTGAAATAGCATTCAGTGTTACAAAAAAAAATATAGAAGGGAAATTCTGTGAGAATGGCTAAAGGTAATTTGGGGGTTAATTAAAGGCACTTAAATTGTGGCTGGTGCGCGCTGACTCCCATTTATTTGGAGTGCTTGGTTACACGAATGGTTGCTTTGTGTTGGTCTCATATTTTATATGACAAAAAGCAGACATTTGAGCATGCATGTGTGTTTTTTTTTTATATCCACTTTAAATTACAGTGTAAATACTTGTGTGACGGCATCTCAAATATGAAAGGGATTTCCATGTGCGTTGTAGGGAAGGAAAAACAAAAGCGAGGATGCTTTCGTAAAGGCTGCTTATGTAATGCCGTGTGGGTGTTTCAAGCGATTCACCAGCACCATGTAAAGACATCTGCTTCATCATCTTGGTGTCTTCTCAGGCAACCACTCTGGAGGCACCGCCGTACTGTTGAAAACAGCTTGTGCGACCTTACGTAATACGGGATTTAATAACTGACCGTTTCCCGTGCGCAGGCGTGGAGCCCAAACCCACCTGGGAGCACGTTTTGTTCACCGCCTGCCACAACAAGCACCTTCCCAACGGCCCCTCGCAGAGACGCCTGCTGTCCTGGTCGGACGACTGGAGAGCCATCCTGGACAGCAAAAGGCAGTGACGTCTTTCAATACAAGCTCCGGGGGCCCGATATCACCAGCAGCGTTGCCTTCCATCTGGGTGCAGACTCGAGGGGACACGAAGCCAAGAATCGATTGAACCACACGTCACATTCGTTGAACTGTCTTACCCTCATCGACCACAAGTGGGCGCTGTAAGACTGAAGCATGTTTTCATCAAGTCCAACATACTGTACTGTCAGAAATAGGCCAGCTCAATGTCAAGAGGTTACGTACTCCGCAAGAAAAGTGGATTAACAGTTAACAGATGTTTGCAGAGGCGCATGAATAAACCACTAGACATATAACATTCACTCGGTTACACACCAATAGTCCACCTATGATTTTTTTTAAGGTATGTGTGCAATACACAAACAAAAGAAAACCTATTTTCAAAAGACTATTTTCTTCATTTTTGGTGCTTCTTTTCCTGTGTTCATTTGAAACATCTATGCGTTGAATTAACAAGGGTTATTTTGTTGTCATTTTGTCGCACAGTCAAGGAGTTGAACAACTGAACAGAATCATTTATTGAGAGTTGCGCAGAGCAATGCATGCGGTGCTGTTAGTTTAGAATAAGAGGCAGTAAAATAGGACGGATTATTTTTGAAGAGCTTGGCAACTACATTTGAAGACGTGATTTATTGGTTTGAGAACTGAATTTTGCTATCCTGTGCTTTACGTGTTCTGTTTTTATTGTTTTTGAACCTGACTAAAAAAAAAAAGATCTAAGTACTGTAACATGTCATCATTTACAAGAACCAAATTAGGTTGTTTCTGTGAAAATGAATATGCCATTGACTGATAAAATACCTCCACCAACAGTTATTGTGTTTATGATCATTCTTTCTTTGAGTTGTCAAAAAAGATGCATTTACTGAAAAGATTGTCTACAAATAAATCCACTTTTACGTCATGCCGTTTTCTGTCTGTGGGTTTTAGTTTGCGTGAGCTATCTAAAAAATGCATTTGCTTTTGTTTTGTTTTTTTTCTCAAACAATGTCATTAGTTACACACGTTATAGGCGGCATTAATGTTGATAAAGATTTTGAAAGGACGTATCGTTCTCGTGTTTTGCCAGAGGTGTGTCGACTTTTTCAAGCTAATGCATACCATTCTGAATAAAAACGAAACAAAAAAAAAAAAAAGCCACTGAGAACCATGGGAGGTTTGCGTACGTTCCAGTCCTAATTTATTTTGCATTGGGTACAGGGTGTCTTCAATCTGTGCAGCACGCAATGAAATCGCAAGACTATCAAGGCATTCTGAAGCAAAATGTGCTCTTGCGGTGTGAGAGCACTTGACCTCACCTGCATGCAGGTCATGTGTCCGCCAACAGCATTACATAAATATTTGATTGGAGTGATTTCCCCAAAAGGTTGCACAAAATAATATTAAGCGTATCATTTTTTGGACGAGCCATTGCTTATTTATAAAAAAAATAATAATTACAGTACAGGGCAAAAAATATCAATGTAGTTTTTTTTTAATTGTTTGTTCTACATTACAAACAAGGTGTGTTTGTGTAGGCACACACCAGCTTTTTGAAATCATCACCAGCAAAGTGTCATTTAAAATTCAAGTTTGAGTTTCAAACAAAAAATGGTATGATAAGTGCAGTTCCCTTGGGTTGGTTTCTTTTGTAAACTCATCACAATATGCCCCTGACTAATATCAATTCAGCCTATCTTGCTTCATCTTGTTTTATTAATAGGCATATAGCTTGCCGCAGGAGTTCAGAGAAGTCACATAGGGGAAAAAGTAAAACGAACGTGAAGTATATCTGTTCCACTTATTCAAAGGCATAAAAAAAATCATTATACATCTTTGGATTTGGACATTGAGTCTGATTTATTCATGTATTTCAGGCACGTTTTTTTTATTTTTTTTATTTTCAGAGAACCAGTTCTTAAGAAAGGGAAATGAGTTGCAAACTCACCACTTGCATTAACGACCATATGAAATCTCGTACTCCTAAACGTTCAATGCGTTCCCTGAATGTCGTTTCGTCCGTTTTCTGGAGTGCTTGCTGGAGCCTCTCTTAGCTGATTATAAACGAGAAGCTAACATGCACGTTTTTGGAGATGTGGAGAGGAAACTGGAGAGCATGCTATTTTATAATTCATTTTATACGTGGCTACGGTGCCAAAATAACTGCGTGAATTGCTATTCTACTTTGTGCTGTCATTATTATAAGACAGTTGCTATCCATTGTACAGATTAATTCACTTTTTTAGGTACTTTTCATGAGAATAAATGTAAATATGGCAGCGACAAAAAACTGACATCATCATGACTCTACTAGAATACGTCCCCCAAAAATGCATACTGGCTTGTATATTTTTTTTTAGTTGTTTTAAGAGCTGGCCAACTAGGTCAGCTGGTACTTTTCATTAGAATAAATGTAAATATGGCAGCAACAAAAAACTGACATTATCATGACTCTACTAGAATACGTCCCCCAAAAATGCATACTGGCTTGTATGTATATATTTTTTTTGTTGTTTTAAGAGCTGGCCAACTAGGTCAGCTCTGGAAGGAAGTCGACAAAAGTGCATCGTTCCAACTGAGCGCCTTCCCAATGGCCATTTTGTTGACACAAGGGAACTAAGTGAACTCTTGGCCAAGCACCCTACGCACGTCACTTTTTCAGTCAACGAGTGGTCTCCATTGAGACCATTGCCATTTCGAAAGCCACTATTGAAGATATTTGTGGCGCAGGAATTAGAAAGGGACCACCTCAAAAAATATTTCTCTCTTCAAATACCACCATGACCAACATTCAAATAACGTACTGCAATTATTCCTAAAATGTACTGATTATTGTAAGCCGCTGTCACATTATGCATTGAATGACTTGTGCTTAAGTATAGGAAAATTACAACAAAAAACTACTTAAATGGTGGTTCAATTAAAATGCATCACGTCTAAAAGTTACATCAAAATTTACCAAAATGTTTAAAAAGCATAGAAAAAAAATCCAAGTGAAACACGACCGAACTGTACTTATGTGTAATTCTTTTGCAGACCACAAGAGGGAACCCATGTACCAGTAGTGGCCTGCAGACCACAATTTGAGACTCGCTGGATTAGTTTACCATCTCGGCTGAGATGCACTTAAAGACAACCAGCAGCTGGTTACTGTCCTCAAGTCAACCACCGCATGACCATGGATGATTCAATCAGCTTGATTGTCTGAACTCATCTTAGGACACGAGTCGATAGCAGATAAACCAACAGGCTGCACATATACATCAGACCCGGCATGCTCCCCTCATTTGAGGCTGTTAAGAGTCATTTTCGATGTCGGTTACTCTTGACATCATCAGAATGTATCTGGCCTGGATTCATTTGCAGTATGTTTTTTTTTTAGTTTTTTTTTTTAGTGTGTGCTAGTGTAACACAAAAGTCCTGAAGTGTCGTCACATTTATACACGCGGGAATGCTCTTTATGACAAGACATGTAATTAGGAGTTGGGGAGGTGTGTTATCATGAGGTTGTAGAAGAGAACAAATGTGTGTATTTTAATCTCACCCATTACAATGTATCTGTCAAGAGTCTTTTGGTGGTGGAATCAAAAACCTTATGAGAAAAAAATGAAACGTGGGCGGGGGAAAAGTACAGAAATCATGACAATACATGAAACAAATCTAAATCGAATTCAAACAAAGCCAACAAAAACACAAAGTACCCATTTCGCAAAATCCCCCCCCCAAGAAAAAAAAAAACGGCATTTTTTTTTTCACTCGGTTGTAAAGTTGAACAATTACTAAATGACAAAGTACAGTAAATCAGTCAAATGCTCCCTCTGTAATTCATATCGTGTTAAGGAACCAAAAATATATCTAGATGTTTCCACATCGGCCAATTAATCGTTTATCGGAATTTTGCCATATCTCGGAATCGGCCATGTTGTGGTTTTGCACTGGTTTTCATTCATCAAGAATTGATTAAAAATAACGATGGCGCCACTCTCACTGGTATTGTGTCATCTTAAATTGAGAGTTATATAACCGTTTTAAATGTTCCCCTCGCCGCTGTGCGGTGAATAATATTTATCATCAAAGATTTTTGAATATTAATGTCCATCATCAACTAAAAAGTGTGAATTTGAGAAAAATTATCCTATTTCCTGAGTTTGATTAAGTCATGAAATGCCTCTCTGGAGAATTATGATCGAGTAAATGAATCACCTCAATGATGTAATTGATAAGGGCATTAATCAAAATTTAATATAATTTACCATTTCGACCACGTTAGTCCTCACGTCTTCCTGAGGAAAAACGTCACCCGTGTCAGTATCTCCTTTGTCTCGACTGTATTCTCCTCGGTTGACACCGAAATTGAAAGTAGTGCTATATCGTCATTGTAAGGCCGAAACTTCCTATGCCCAAATTTGGTCAATTTCCTATTTTTCTTTTAACAAATTGGTCAGTCGCCACGGGGGTCTGTTATATGTCGAAATTATTAACGAATGGCTCGTGCTCTTTGACGATGCAATGAAGCACAGAGAAAATTTGGCGTCCCCGTTTCTTGAGTTCTCGGACAAATGATGCACGGCGATGAGATTAGGAAAGCCGAAGGTGAACGCAGATTTGCGCTACGTTGAATATGCCAGTCCAGTTGACAGTGGTTGAAATGTGTAATTCAAGAATAAATAAAAATTAAAATGTAAGCTTAAAACTGAATCTAGTAGATTTCGAAGTGACTTCATTGAGTTGAACGCTTTAGGCCTGGCTAAGCCACATCCAATATGTCTGCCACGTTGACCTGTACTCTCTGTGGCAAGTTCCGTTGAGCGGCACTCGGCACCAAACGGATGTTGGCGTTAGCTTTAACCGGTAACTCCGCTTAAACATTACTGGCTGGCGGTGGCCCAATTCAGCGCTCTCCACTTGCCAGGTCACATTTCCTCATCAATATTTATGCCGCTCAGTTAATAACAGATATACACATGCAGTATTTTGAAGTGTATTCGTGATAATATTTCATTTTCATTGTTTACTTATTGTCCCTGACACTTTGACTCAGCTGGGCGGTCGGGTGGCGCATCCTACCCCGTGACGAATGCTTCCGAAGGTAAGCGCTGCGTGAAAAGATCGTCACTGATGGTGTGAATAATTGTTTTTTTTTTTTTTTTTTTTTGATGCACATGGCTCTGTTTTTAACAAATTACATATATAGAGTCTCTGCCCTCAGGAAGAAAACGCCGCGAAGAATGGATTTGGACTTCTTGTGTTTGTTTTTGAATAGCCCGTGTGGTCATGAGTCACATAATCGTCAATGTGGCCCTCTTCAAAGGAAACATCATGCAATCAATCTTTCCATCGCATCAGGAGAAACCCGAGGAGATTTTTTGAAGACGACGACCCACAGCCAATCTTGTTGTTGACTGCTGGTGATTACACACTGATTGGATTCATTTATGTCAACGTTTGGAAGTAATCACAAAGAAATCACGGCCCACTTGGTTCAAATGAGGTATTCATCTTAACTGCTTATCCTCAGATTGGGGACATTTGAATCAGCACTGTGCACTTTCAACTCCTGACGAAAGATGGTATGATGATGACGGATTGAAGAAACAACAGAAAACACCAAAGAAACAGTTCTTGGTACTGATGCCGACCAGTTCTTCACTGCCCTAAACTACAATCTCATTCTAAACATTTTGCTAAACATACGCCACTGAGCATTTTTTAATTTCGTATTTAGTGGTCCCTCGCTATTTCATAGTTTGGCGATTGCAGCTTGACTATTGCGGTGTTCTAATTTGCGACCCAAAACGTCTACATTGCGGGAGATTCTCCAAATTGTACCTCGATATTTCGAGGTGCAGCTTGACTATTGCGGTGTTCTAATTTGCGACCCTAACGTCTACATTGCGGGGGATTCTCCAAATTGTACCTCGATATTTCGCGGGTTTTCGCAAATTAGCATTTTATTTTTTTGCCCTGGTTTTAGTTTGTTTTTCATTATAATGCTGCACTGTACCGTAATCTGTGTTTCCAGGATAGTATGGTACAAAAAAAAAAAAAATGCTAGAGGCTACGCAGCGCTAACGACCATGTGAAGCTGTTTACCATGACGAAATAATACAGACCATTCGCTTGGCTAACACAATCCATACTCATTGGCTCATCAATCTTAGGCTGTTTTCCTCAGGCTGAAACATTTATAAAGCAACATTTATGAAGTGTAACAAGGATTTAGAAAGGTGGGAACTTGTGTCGGCGGGGGTTCGTAATGGATTGCTTATTAAAGGGCGGCACTGTGGTTGATAGCATGCTAGCACAGTAAAGTTTGGGATTTGAACCTGGGCTCTGGACCTCCTGTGTGCATTTTAAATGTTTCATTTTTATTATTATTATTTTTATGATTGTTGTTGTACAACACTGGAGGGTTTGTGATAATTGTGGCACCGGTAAAGTCACATAGGTGGTTCATCATGGTCAAGTACAAGGCAAGGCCTGGCAGGGGGGGAAGAGAAATCGCAAAAAGGCAAGAAGTCACATAGGTGGTTCATCATGGTCAAGTACAAGACAAGGCCTGGCAAGGGGGAAGGGAAATCGCAAAAAGGCAAACAAGGATACTGGGTTACAGAATCAAAAATCTTAATTAAACTATTATTGAAACCCCATCACAGAGGACGGGCAAGACGCAACGAACAGGCCAGACAGGTCACAAGGGGGATGAAGAGACAAAGACATGATAAGTAGACAGGCAAAAACAAGCGATTCGGGAACACAAAACAAAACCAAAGCAAGATCAAAACGCAATGCGCTGCCGAAACATGGTCAGATGGCGGCTGCACTCTGTGATAATTTTTTTTTAAGGCAGTCTCATTTGTCCTGACATATTTAACTGTTAATATTGTCACTGCACACTTAACATGTACAACTTACATTGTTTAAAAATATGATTCAATTCGGCGACATCATTGAGTCACACAGCCTTGTGTGTCTTTGTCTTTCACCGCGAATCTGCAGTCTGACCACCACATACGACAGCCGACAAGATGTGGTCAAAAGGATGATACCCAGAGACGGACAAATCGGATGGAGAAAGCTGACAATATGATTCAATTCGGCGACATCATTGAGTCACACAGCCTTGTGTGTCTTTGTCTTTCACCGCGAATCTGCAGTCTGACCACCACATACGACAGCCGACAAGATGTGGTCAAAAGGGATGATACCCAGAAACGGACAAATCGGGAGGGGATGGATAAAGCTGATTGGCTGATAGACGAGGGGGAGAATTGAGAAGACCAGGTGGAGACAAAGACGTGACAGAGGGGTAGACAGGCGTCAACAGGAAATGCAGGAACACAAAACAAAACCAAACCAAGACCAAAACACAAAGCGTTTAGTGGTTTGACTCAGCATATAATAGAAGGCCAAACATTATGGTTAACCACATACAACTGATAGGCTTCCCTATTTACTTCAGTTGTATTCCTTTCCGTTGCCCGCACTCCCCCCCTCATCTCTCACACCCAGTCTGTTTATAGACTTCTCCATCTAATTGCTTTATGGAAGCAATGGAAACAGGCGCACAGATCATGTTGTAATATCATTTTGTCACATGGTCTTTTCCACATCATAGCAGAGATGGTATTTTGGTGTTTTTGCAGCTTGCCCGGAAGTCCTGTAACTGGCGTATAGTTTGCGTTTGACAAAGTAGCAAGAATAACAAGGATAAGGTGAACTGGCGAGCGACTGCATGTTTGTAGCGGTGTATTTTTACCACTTTGAATTTTGAAAACTGCCTGTACTATAGCATAGCGACACCAATTAATCGGTGACCTTTAACCTAACCCTTTGAGAATGATCGATTTCTGCTTGCGTTTTAGTCCAAGTTCAAATTTTCCTTCATGCTAAACAAATTACATAACGGTTAAATGGCCTCACTATGATTTCCACATTTTAATCTCACAAAAGATGTGTCTAATTCCAACACTAAATTGATCATCAGGAAGGATCCCGGGAAACGTCATTCACTTCCTGGTACGGCTCGATCTTTTCTGCAGGCGAGGCAGATGAGTGATGTGAGGAAGAACTTGAGAAGATAATTTCTAATAGTTATTGGAATTTTTTTATTTTTATTTTTTACAAGCAATGGAAAAGGGATCAAAGAGGGAACACAATGTAAGCCAGTGGAAACTGTTTGTATTGCTTATTCATGATTCATTTACAATCTATTCGGGAAAGGGAAAGAAGAGCACACGCT